ACTTTTATATTTCAAAAGTAAATGGAAGCTTTAATTCTGATAGTGTTTAATAATAAAACAGAGAAGTTATTGCTATCTTATCTAATAAAATTTTGAATTACCTTTATTTAATTTGTAATTAAAAATCTAATTCTTCTTTTAAGCGAACGCAGAATATTTATCAAATAATTCAGATACAGCTTGAAAAAGTAATCTTACTTTGGAAAAATAGCAGCTTTTCGTGAATCGGAGCTTACAATTAGTGAAAATATTAAAAGCTCTGGCAACAATATAAATTTAAATTACGTATACAAAATCCTTTTTAAATTTTTATAAACTTTGAGTGTATCGTAAAATAATTGTAATTCTTCTTTTAAGTGTTCTATTGCAAGTTTCGTGTTAGAAACAGATTTACTAACTGATTATTACATCGTCATATGAGAATTGCGAGAGGAAACGATGATTTTCTTGTTTCTCGGTCATTTTTTATCGTCTAGATTATATGGAATTTATGTTACCGGCTTCCGGCCTGACAAAGTACACAGCGACAGCGATTATCTTCTACGTAAATAATCTATGTATATTTCAACGAAATATTCCGTAATATTTCTTGGAAGTTCTTCAACATTATTTGAAAATGTTTCTATACAACGCGACTTAAATTCTAATTACATGATGAAACAAAAATATATTAAATTGTGATATATATTTTATTGTTTGAACGTTACGACATGAATGATACAATTGCGCTATTTATCATTTAACTTGTGAATTCTGCAGAGAAAGTGTGAACGACGGGATAAATTTTCACTTCGTGAACATCGAATGAATGCGGTAATTCACTCGTATATTTATCGTCCTTTTATCAGATAAGCGAGCAGTCTTGTAGCAGCCGTTCCTGTAATCCAAAGACATCAACGAGCAGCCTTGCTGCAATAGGTATGTATGTATATACGGTCGACAATTCTTGGGATAACTCCCGAGTCGAAATTTTGGCCCTATGTTGAACCTTTATCGTGTTGCTCAATGGAAATTCTTGTCACGTAGATCTATGTTTATTAAATTTGGTCGTTTTTTAATTTGAAAAAGTTTCGAAATACATTAGCGACAACAAGATCAATTTTTCATCTCAAATTAGATCTTGTTAGTTTAATTTACAATAGGCTGGTGAACTTTTCGAGACATAAAGTTACAAATAATAAGAATGTTCTTCAAGTCGCCAGCGGTAATTAACGACTTCAGTGTTTTGGCTCTAGGCGGGTGTCAATTTACATGCCTCAGTGGTCGAATTGGTGAGACGCCCGCCTAGAGTGTAGGCCGTCCGGGTTCAAACCTTGGCTGACAATAATATTTTTTGCAATAAATTTTCTGTATTATTAAACATGCCAGAATATGGCCAAGAAAACATTGAAGTTTATAAAGTTACAAATTTGTATTCTAATTTTAATACTAATCTATTCGAGAAATTGTTTTAAAGTAACACGCAACGTTTATAAACTTACAATTAGAAGAGCATTAAATTGTCGTCACGCACAAGTATTAGATTGCCCTTCACTGTCTTCGTGAATACTAGTGAGAATGTTAAAAAATAGAATTGGTTTCTACTTGAGGCGAACTAGCTTACGTACACCCTGAAAGATCGTGTTCTCACAAAGTCGTTAAAAAAGCTCGAAGGCGTCCGCTAATAAAATAACCGGGTGTCCAGAAGCGCGTTACGATTAGTCGGTCACGGAAACGTGGGTTTACATTAGCGATGACGAGTGCGCGTCGCCGAGACCCAAGTCGCCGTCGTCGTCAGAAGCGTTTGTGAGCGGAAGAGAGAAAGCTTTCTCGAGACGGGGGAAGGGTGGAGTCCCATGGAGCGGAATACGCGGAAGCGGAATCAGCGGATCGCCAATCACAAGACCGTTTCGACGGAATTTTTGAAAGGGCTCTATCAGAATAATCTTGCGATTGGCGATCCGCTGATTCCGCTTCCGCGTATTCCGCTCCATGGGACTCCACCCGAAGAGTATCCTCGAGTCGAAATTTTGGCCCTACGTTGAACCTTTAATGCTATTATATAGTAGGACCTAGGACAGTAAAGGAGGTCGAACTGCAAGTACAAAATTTACTCCTATTTAAAAACTAATAGTGTCGGCAATTTCTACTTTTACCAATTTAGCATTAACGTAGGGCCTTTTAAGTAGGAGCTAAAGTAAATTTTTAGAATTAAAGATTCAAGGGATGAGTAAAAGAGTATAATGTAATCAAAGTAGGCTATTGCTGGTCTATGTAGGTGTATAAATCAGCTAAGTAGGTGTGAATTATCCTTAAGAGTGTCAAAATAGTACCAAAATTTCGTCTCGGGCTGAAAACATTCGTTCATCGAATATTGTACATATCATACATTTTTCTAATTAGAGGGAAAAAGAAAGGTCTCTATTTTATTAACATTTATTATGCCGACATATCGTTGCTCTAAAAAAAATATTATTTTATTCTTATAAGATTAACAAATTATTCGCAATTCGCTTTTGTATTTATATTCACGGTTCTCAAATTTTCAACTACTAAATATTTACTGAATATCAACTGAAAAAAACTGATACGAGATACTGGAAGCACGCGAGTTCCCTGGAACTCTTGTACCGCTATAAGTGCTTATAAATACGTACAGTTATAAGAATGCCAAAGGTTACTGTGCAACACGCTATTATGTTGTTTATGATATTCGCAGTGGATTGATAAATAAAGTACAACGAAAGGAGAGTTCGCTTTGAAAGAAATTCACAAGAGAAGCTGAATTAATATTATAGAATACCCGGTAAACACCAAATAACAGTGTGATATTATATCAATATTTCCCATTAAAGTGTAATATAACCGTTGCATTAACATCCTTTAGTGGGAAGTTATAATATTGATATAATGTTATTGTTACATACACCTACATATATAATATTTTTGCACGGTTAGAAATTTTCTGAGCTAAGATTGGATTATTATTTTTAGTGGAATAATTCAATTTCAGCACTTCCAACAGCTGCGAAAAGTATTCTGCTAAACGCGGCCAATGTTAACTCGATATAATTTAACAATGTTTTCTGAATGTTGAATTGTAACGTTTACAAGACATTACAATTCAGCGGACATTAGACATTTTTGCAATATCTTCTCAACGTTGAATCTACATTTCGTGATCTCTTAATTGTTATAGCTTTACTCGAAATTGATTTTTAAACAAGCCTACATATGACAACATGAAAAATCCAAGTCGGATGTCTTTATATTACAAAAACTAAAATCATTTATAATTAATTAAGTTTCGACATTGCTGAAATATTTGTTCGTGAATAAGGCAAGATCAATAATTGTGCAGTTCCGTAGCGCGATGAAGTAAAAGCTGTAACAACACGACCAAATAATTAATTTCTGCTACTCGCAAATTAATCGAGTGCCTATGTTTTAACTTAAATTTTGTTTGTAACATGTTTTTCTAAAATGCATTATTTTCGCCCGGTCTACAATGAGTTGTTAGTCGTTAGTCAGAAGTCGGAACTATATGTCGGTCCTTTTTCTTCCACCCAGAAAGGAAAAGGATCAACATATAGTTGCGACTTCTGACTAACGACTAACGACTCATTGTAGACCGGGCCTTTACGGTACGGTTTGGTGAAACGAGTTGGTGCAACGAGAAGTTTTGATCAGCGACACGTAGTCTACAAGTTGTCAACAATTGTTGATATAAAGTTTGCGCGGGGTCCTTCCGGTCAGCTTTTTAAACGCGATTGTAATCGCGATAGAAACTGTCGATCTCGTCATCACGAGGTGTCTTTATCGACTGTTATCTCGAATCGACTTTTCAAGTCTCTCTCGCGCACGTCGTGCAGATTAGGTTGGCACGACTGACGCGCGACCGTTTTAGACCCCCAACCGCCTTTCCAACCGCTTTCATCGAGCGTTTTAATTAACTCCGAGCCGCTGCTCGGAGGTCCGTGATTTTATTGTTTGATCGGGCGAGGCAGGCGATACCGCATCACAGGTGAGAGCCACCAGACAGCTGGCAGCAGGGAGCAGCCAGCGCGGAGGCGTCAAATTTGAAATGTAGCGGGTGACAAGCGCCGACGAGCGTGTCAACGGACGAATAGATTGTTTTGCGCCCTTGATGCACGTCGACCCGCGAGCTCCGTCGAGATGAGCGCGACGCAGGACGAGGACGAGCGTAGAAAACGCTCGCTGGAGGCCGGCAGGGAGATGGTAAGGATTCCCCCCTGTTTTCTTACATCCATAACCAATGTCGTCCCCTTTCTACATCACTGTAGCCTGGCTCCGGCAGTTCCTCGTTTGTTTATTTTCCTAACTCGACATTTTCCCGCTCGTTATCGTCACCTCTACCTCGGAGGGACACTCGTGGAAGGTCCTCCGCGTCAGCAATGTCTCGTCTCTTGTTATCAATGCCCGAGTTGTACAATCTTATCTCGATTGTCGCAGTTGGACAAGTATAAGGCGAAACGGTCGAGCAGAGACCAGGGCGGAAGCATGGAGCCCGCGGAGCAGTCCGACGACGAGTCGTTGCACAACGAGAAGTCCGTGATGCACAAGGAATCCGGTGTAAGAGGCAAAGTTGACACGCCTTGGGCCTTCTCCAGCAAGGACACAATGTGACACAGTGTAACACTGTGAATCATTGCATCCTTGTTGTCCTTGCTGGAAAACGCCCCTTGACTTGCGGCATCTTTACGGCCGACCACATTACATCATCTGTCGCTGTATTAGGTAACCGAAGGCATATCGTCGAGGGACATAACGCACAGCAGCGTCAGTATAAGCGAGGGAGAGGCCGACGCTGATCTGGAGGGGCTGGCGGGACGAGTCGCCGAACTCGAGGAGTTGTTGCACGGAAAGGAAGCTATAGTTGGGGCCTTAAACGCAGAGATTGATCATTTACGGGCCGAGACCTGCTCCCCGAACTCGTCGCAAAGCCAGGGCAGCAGTATACATGGAAGAGACATCATATCTTTGTATCATACAAAAGTACGTCGCGTCTCTTCGTCTGGAGACGCGATTCTCCTTTTAATGTTAAGCCGTAGAACGTACATTTAGGAAAGTGTCGCTGTAATCAATGTGATAATCCTCGTTTTAATGTATTTAGGACGAGTTTCAGGAACGTCGGTTAACTGCTAACTTCAGGTTAATTGATTCTCTGTGTCTTGTTAGATAAGACAGCAAAAGATAAGTCACAGTCTACAATAGAGATGTAAACCCGAAGCCTTAAGAAATTGACTGATCACAGTCGCGTATTCTACTCATACTTGACCGTGATTGGTCAATTTCTTAAAGCTTAGGACTTAAATCTATTGTAGACTGGGACTAAGGAGTTGACTCTGGTTAATAGTTAACCGACATTTGTAAAACTGGCGCTTAATGAAATCTTATTTTTGCTTTCGACAATAACAGTATTTACAATTTCAACTCTACTAGATTGCATTGCTTTTTTTATATTGCACGAGATAATTGGCACCAAATCACGTTGTGCTCTTCATAAAACAGTTGCAGGAGTTTGAAAAGGCGGTTATTCAACGCGACAACCTGATCGAGCACTTGACGTCGTCCCTGGAGCAAGCGTTGTCCGCCAGAGACACTGTAACGGCGCAGCTCAATGCCTTGAACTCGATGCAGCTCAACAATCCTGTGATAAACAATATGAACTTGCAGCAAAAGGTGAGTAGCGCGCTTCAGATTTTTACATTTTGCGGTTATTAATAATCTCGCTAGACGTCTGAGACTTTTGCGATTTTAGATCGAGGTTCTGGAAAAGGCGATGAACGATCAGGAATCGTTGATCCGTCGATTGAACGCGCATCTGACGGAAATTCGTAAGCACGTGCAGACATTGGAGATGGAGAAGGATACGCAAAACGCGGAAATCAATGATTACAAAATGCAGATAAACAATCTAAACGAGCAGATTCGCCTGGGCGCCGCAGAGAAGAATCTGGATATCGACCAGACGTTGGAGCAACAGAAACAGTACGAGGCGCGGGTTGATAAGATCAAACAGGACATGCAGCATATCTTGCATAAGCTTACCAGTGAGACTAACGCCAATGCTATACGCCACCAGCAAGAGCTAAAGGTAAGCGTTTCACGAGATGTTCTTTCACTACAATTAACTGGTATAACTCTGAAGGTAGATATGGTATTGCCAGCAATTCAAAACAATGATAAGTCTTCTTCAAAAAACGACCTACACTGGCCAATGCTTTTATTCAATACAAAAACGACGTTTCGCTCCTAGATTTGGACCCTTTTCAAGTAATCTGTAATCGTATATAACTGGTATAAGTTTCTAGTTTACTTTATACATTCTTTTAGCCAAGGTTGGGAAAGTTACTTTATAAAAGTATCTAGTTACAGTTTTTTTCGCTAAAAATGTAACTAGTTACAGTTACAAGTTACCAATTCTAAAAAGTAACGCGTTACAGTTACAGTTACTCAAAAAGTAACGAATCATTACTTTGCAGTTACTTTCTTGCAATGAAAATAAAAATATCGTATCTGTGTTTGAATTATAAAGTGTTGATAAAAGCGTTTATGTGCAAATGCAAGACCTAATGCGATCTGTGGAGGTTTAAGATACATATAAAGTAACTCTTAATGTAACTATCAAATTAGTTACTAGTTATCGCAAAAATGTAACTGAGTTAAGTTACAGTTACAGATGGAGAGAAAGTAACGAAGTTAAGTTAGAATTACCCAAAAAAAAGTAACTGTAACTATAACTTCGTTACAAGTAACGAGTTACTTCCCAACCCTGCTTTTAGCGTATCAGAAATGAACATAATGTCTATGTGTGTGTGTGTGTAGCGAAAATTGTCAACAACTTATTGTAGCAATTGAAAGAAGAAGATTGACCACATTGATTTCTTCATTCGAATATTGTATTCGTAGGAGTTGACTGCGAAGAACGCGGCTGAAATTACGAATATAAAGGCCAAGCACGAAGAATGTATGAAAGTGCAGAGGTACGAAAACAAAATGTTGGCCGATCGTTTGAACAAGGAATTGCCGGACCTGGAGAGCAGGCACGCCAAGGAGTTGTCCGTCTTTCAGACGCAGCTGGCGCACTACAAGAGAACCGTTCAGGCGTTGAAGCTCGAATTGGAGAGTCACGCCGAGTCGCAGAAGGAAGTTCAGCTGTACAAGATGAAACTCGACGAAGTGAGATTTGAGGCAGAGAACGAACGGCACATGCAGAGTCTGCACTTTCAGAAGGAGAAGGAGCTGCTGAACGAACAGATCAGACTGCACAAGATTCAGCTGGAGGAGATCACCTCGAAGCATATCGCGTCGATGAGTATCCTGGAGTCTAAGGAGAGCATCGAGCGATCGCTGGAGCAGGCTTTGTCGAATGCCGCTGCGCTCAAGCAGGAGAACGACACGCTGAAATTCAAGCTGGACGATCTGTCGTGCAGGTACTCCGCGGCGCAGTCGATCATCGAGTGCAGCCACGACAGAACCTTGAGCGGTAAGCTGTACGAGATGGAGAAGTCCTCGTCGCGATTTGACGCTACGAGCGTAAGCACGGTCAGTGAACTAGGGGAGACCATGTACAAGACTTTCGACGAGGAAGCTATTCAGCAGCAGCTGACGAAGCGAAAGCTCGAGGAGAAGATGGAAATGGAAAAGCTGTTAGTCGAAAAGGTTCGCGTTCTCGAGGCGGATCTGACCAAAGCGCATAACGAACTGGAACAGGCTGACGCTGCAAAGAAGACGTACGAGAAGCAGCTGAAGGACACGAGGAATACGTGCGACAAGCTGCAGCAAGAAGTCAATTCGTTGAGGGAATTTAATCGTGGCACGTCTCGCGGTGCCTCCGCCCAGGGATCTGCCGAAAGCGCTCTGGCAAACGTTGAGAGCGACTCAGCTCGGCGAATAGAGGACCAACAGCGGGAAATAGAGAGTCTGAAACTGCGAATGGAGGAGAAGGAAACGGAGAACGCGCGGTATAAGAAGGATTTGGCTGAGATAACGGAAAAGTCGAGGATGGCGGAGACGCAGTGCGAGCAATTGAGGGACGGTTTGGCCCACGCGTGGGCGCAGTGCGCCGAATTTGAGGAAAAATTGAACCAGACCCTGATGAGCGACAGCAGTAAAATTATCTCCCCGAACAACAGCACAATTTCATCCAAGCACCGTAACAAAGGGAATCAGAGTTTGGACGACAGTATGCTGAGCCCAAACGTAGCAGGTCAGAAGAGAGTTTCGGAACTGAATGTCGCCGGCACGTTAACGGACAGTTATCTGAAAGAGAACGAGAATCTGTATAAGGAGCTGCAACAAATCCTAGAGGGTGAATCAAGTTTGGACGAGGTTAAAGTAAAATTATCACGCTTTTACGCTCTATGCGAGAAAGTAGTCGCCGATAAGAAGCGATCCTCGGCGGAGGATGCGACTTCGCAAAAACAGCAGGACGACGAAGACTCGATGCAAAGATCCTTGGAGAACCTGCGGGCGGAGAAGGAGTCGCTGAGCCGGGAAATCGAGGCGGTAGTGAATCGACAAAGGGAAGAACTGGAGTCTGTTAAAGCGGATTCCGCCAAGGAGATTAACAGACTACGTTCGTTGCTGCTGAATTTCAAGGCAGGTCATTTTTCTTCTAGTTCGACCCGAAACAATATTTGTGTCTGTATTTTCTTTACATCGCTGAGCAGGATTGTACGTTTTCTTTTAAAGTGTTATGTTTCTTGTTTCTTAAGGATGGCAATGCAAGCCTGAACGACCTGAGGACCGAACTCGAGGCACGCCATGCTAAAGAGATGGAGGAACTGAGGACGTACTTTGAGCGGAAATGCCTGCAGATGGAGAAACAGTATTCCGAGGAAATCTTCAGCCAGCAGTCGAAAAGGATTTCCGATAACGACAGCGAAACCGAGGAGCTGACGGACGACCTGTACTTCGGCGGTGCCGGCGACTGCTTGAACGTGTCCAACTCCCGCGCGGCTACACCCAGTGCCATCGAGGAGTCCCTGAGGAGCAAGATCCTAGACGCTGAAAGCCAAGCACGCCTCGAGACGGAATACGAGGGCAGCATCCAAGCATTGCGACAGGAACTGGAACGCAAAGCGAATGAAATTCAGACTATCACGGCTGATCACGAGAGGGCGATCGAAGAGCAGAAGGAGCTGTACGAGTGTCAAATTCATGATATCGAGACGAAGCTGGAGCACGCACTGATCCTACCCACTGTGCACCAGGTGAGGAAACAAATTGTCCGCTTTGTTAGTATCGATTTGTCAACAACAGCGGTTCTTGTCAGTAATACGTGCTGAAGGTTCATGTATGAAGCATGGTGTGTCATCAGTATGGGTTAATTATTGTAATACATTTCTCGCCTCGGTGCAATCTTCATCTCCGTGATCTCCTTATGGTCTGTTGAATGTCCACGCTCTCGTACATTGTAATTAATATAGCGTTTATTACTGTGCAACAATGAGGAAATAGATTATTTGTGCTGTTTCAATAACTTAGGTTGAAATGCGAATTTATTTGTGACTAACATACCGCCGTGTGACTTCCTGTTTGCATGTAGTGTTGTCAGACAGAATGGGAAGCGTTGGAGAACGGTGAATTGTCGAGTCTGCGTGATGCGTATAATCATCAATTAGAAGAGCAGATCGCGCTTGCTAGACAGGACATTATCAACGCTCTTCAAGAACAGATTCAGGTAGATGTGGATCATGTATAAAAATTGGTTTAAGAATGAAGTACGGACGAAATAATAATGCAGATTAAACCATCTCGGTTGTGTTTTTGAACAAGAAAATTTCTGAATGTTACTGTGTGTCCTCGTACAAACATTGGCTAATGCCGCATGGTGTTGATATATTTATGGCATGTTAGCGGAGCCACTGGAGGATGTTTATCGTAAAATGTATTATAATTGCAGACACTATTGACAGTGGAGGCTGACAAAGAGGATAGTTGGCCGACTGAATTATTAGAGCTGCGAGATAAATTCACGTGCAACGCTAAGCAAGAAATCCAGGAATTGAAAAAGATGCATTGTGCTGAATTAGCTCGTTTGAAGGACGAACACGGTTGCACTGTAACACGAATGCTCGAGCAACATCAAAGGGAAATCGCCATTCTTAAAACGGATAATAAGCCAGAAGTCAGTTGCGTCCGAGCATCAGAAAATATCACGAAGGAAAGGTAATTGATGAGTGTTGAAACGATATTATTTTATGATTCAACAGATAGAAAACAATTGTTTAATTAAAAACGTTTAGTACTGAAATATTCAATATTAAAATTGACCTGGAAATTACGCTAACTGAAATCCGTTATGCAATTCTTCCATTTATTGCTTACGCATTGTGTGTTGTTTCTATCAGGGACAATCTGTGGAAAGCGTGTGTAACCCTTAAAAATCTAATTGGGGAATTGGTTAACTACTTCGCTGTCTGCGAAGAGGAAGTTAACAATACTCTGATCAGCGAAGTTCTGAAGAGACAATTGACAGAATCCGCTTTTATCAATGAAGAACATTTAAGCAAGAACGACAGCATTTTACCTGAAGCACAGCCCAAAGATTCATCGAGCCAACAGATCAAGAGAGTTCACTTTGCTCCGCAGTCCAGTAAAATAACTTCCATCGTTAATAGCGATAACAAAACGTTGCAGAATTTAGTTGACGAAAACATAGATGAGATATTTAAAAAAGAATTGAAGGCTTGTCTGAGACGCTTGAAGTCTGATAGCACACAAATCCTCAACCTTTCGTTGTCTGAGCCAGACAACGAGGACAAAACTGCATCGTCAAATGAGAGCCTCTTAGCGAGCAACATTAATGAGGAGCTCACTTTGAAACTGAACCACGCTGAAGTTTTGATAATAAACTATCAAGAAGAAATAGAACGATTAAAATTACATATTTTGGAACTGCAGCGAAAGTTAATTAGCGCGGAAAGTAAAAAGGAAGTCATCACGGAAGGTTACGGCGAGAGCGATCTTTCTAGGGGCGACATGGTGTTGCAAGATTTTTCGCAAGTGCAAGAAAAAGGTAATTCTTATTTGATTTTGATATAAATTATTTATTTAACATACACGCATACGTAAATACACATAACAATCTTGTTTATTTTCTTTATTCACACATTTAATTTCAAATTGTTTAGAACATCAGCATTTGAAACTAAAAATATTTAAATCTATACCAAATATATAGATTGCGTTGGTCATTCTACGTTCCAGATATATTTGTAATATTTATATTTTATCTTTTCATGTTCCAGCTATATGATAATTTTATTTAAATTACAGCTAGACATGTGTTATCTAATGGTGGCGGCGACGTGTCTTATTTGCTGCAATTAATAGAAGAGCTGTGCAGGCAAAATGATAAACTGATAGACGACGCCAGGAAAGAGAGGGAAGATTTGCAACAGCAGGTAAAATCCTTTATTAGTTTCATTCAAAGTGCATTGTTGCATGAGTTCTAATTATTCGACGTTGGTATGTTCAGTACGGTGATGAATATTGCGGTGTATGAAAACAACTTGTCTTTGTAATTCATTAAGTCTATACACTTCTGTCTCTACAAGCTTCGTGTTTATATTCTTTACATCGTACGTGTTTTACCGTGTACCAACAATTAACACAATCATCTCTATTTGTATGGCACGTTTTTTTTTTACACAATGCAATTATTAATACATATCTACTCATTTTTTTTTTTAATAAGTAGTATCAGGATTTGAGAGAATTATGTTGTATTATGCACACTGTATACAGAGTGTCTTAAGAAAGTGGGATATTTAGATTCTCTCATCCCAAAATTTTTGGGTATGCTATCTGTTGGAGAATCCTAGATCTTTAAGTCTCTACGTACTTGTATTTTACGCTTAAATTTAATTTTTATTGAAATTTTTGTTTCCTACGTTTTTCTACTCCGTTATTTTTATACATAAAAATTCTTGGTTATAATATATTGAGCTTTATTAATTAGATTTTCACCTTTTTAGTGATTTAAAAATGAATTCATTTTATTTAGTTATTTATTCACTTTTCTTTATACACTCTGTATAAAATAAAATGACGCATTCCTCAGTAATTTGTGAAACAGCCAGAGATTAGAACATCGTGCGCATATGGCAGTTGATATTAAAAAGTACTATTTGTCATTAAAACAAGTATTTGATTAATTAATAAGAAGCATCTTCCAAATCAAAAGTGCAGAGCTCTGCTGTGCAGATTTTAAAAGATTGATTGGCGTTCTATTGTCTTGCCAGCAGGTACCTTTAGAACCTACTCCTACCCCATACATTCACAGGGTTTGCTGCAAAAAGGTAAATTATAGAATTACTAATATTACTGTAAACGCTGTCCGTAAGTTACTTCCAGATCGGCTGTAATACATTAATGCGTATAACATCCCGCTGCAATTAAGAAGTGTGAAACTAGTTTCCGTTGTAACGCCATTTATCTCCTTTCTAATGTCTGTCCATTTTTCTAATTGCACATACGTTTGCCATAGTATTGCTAAAAAATATATATTTATTATTACCACACACGCGTTTGTATGTTGTTGCAAAATGTAATAATTGCCTTGCATGCTGTATTGTAGGCATTTGAATGTGTCATATTAGCACAGTTAGTTATGTCTTGTCCATCATAGATTTTTTACTTCCTCGCTTATTTTAGAATTGCCAAAATTTGATGTTAAAGCCGGAATTTTTCGTAACTCTTTAATTTTTATTGTTACGTGATTTTTAATTAAATGGATATTCGAATATACTTGGTTTTTACACACGTGAAACTGTTAAAAAAATTAGGTTTTTAATTTAATTTTCAATATTAAGATATTTAGTAATTATATTTATGCCTTAACATTGAAATAATCATTATTTTTCTTTCTTTTATTTGCAACGTCTGTGACTGAAAGAATCCGGTATTACTAACACACCTTTATATTTTATTGCACTTTAGTGCTATTATTTTACTTTACTATAAATGGGACAGAAGGCCCAATTACCAAAAGCTTACTGAATTATTAATTACAATTAATCTTTCATTAGAGAATATAATTTTTCTAATGATTGTAAATATATATACAAAAATTTACTTTTTTCTTTCTTGCTTTTAAAATATTTAAAGCATTTATTTCACTAATTTTACAAATTTATTAATACAATTTTTCATGTGTAATAAAAATCTTAAACTCTGAAAAGTTTAAAAAGGTTTAAAATTAGATTAATTATTATTATATTGTTTGTATATAGATATGTAATTGTTACAATGCAAATGACTTAAATAATGCAGCAAATGAACTATTTTAAGTTTAATTACTTTTATCACGTACGTCGTCCGGCGTGGGTAACACACGATAATTACCTTTAACTGGAACTACGTTTGTTTAGGTTGAGGCAGCGGACAAGCAGTTACGAGCGACGCGGCGGTTTCTGGACGAGCAAGCGAGCGAGCGCGAGATGGAACGAGACGAAGCTGCAAAACAAATTCGCTTTTTGCAAGAGCAACTCAAAGAACGCGAGCGCGACAAAGAGAGAGATATGCGCATCACTTCCGAGGTAAAACTCTTGTTGATTTTTTTTTCAAACAAAAAGGTTTTTTGTTCAGTACACGACATGCTTTTCATAATCACCCGCTGTGGTTAGCTTTAGGATTTATTTCTCAGTTAATCCTTAATTAGTTAATGCCAATTAATGAAAAAGAAATTCATATACGCAAAATATTGCAAAACACTGTTTTAAATATATCAAAATCGGTTTTGCGATAAATACATTTATCTTGGAAAAAATTTAAAGGCAAAATTATCTTGATTTGTTGAATTTAAAGATGTTAAAAATGACTTAAAAGAAGTGCTGTGCAATAATTTGATTTACGGCTAACTAAGGATTAATTAATTTAATATAGACTTTATTAATTCGCTGTAATAATTACTGCACTAACCAGGAAATTTTCACTGGCATAATGACTGCCATCTCCAAAACTTAACTATAGGTGGTTTCTGTGGTTTATTTAATATAATACTTAATATAGACTTAAAACTGCTGGAAAAAGATTGCACAAAGTTGATCCCTAAAAAATGGGTTGTATAGTTTATTACGTGAAAATACTAGGTGAGATCCTGTAATATCATACGAATTCTGCAATTCTATTTGTACTTTATATGCACTTTGACCAGCAGGTTCTTTAATCTAAAAATAATTCTTTCGAAAACAGTGTAATGTAGAACGTAAGTTTAACTACCAATCTAAAGGGCTATATCTTGGAAATTAATTATATCGCCAGCAATTAGTATCACGCATCACGACTAATTGTATTAACACAATGTTTTTCTGCACTCTGGTTTTGGTTTTCTGTTTGTCGCACAAAGCAGTCTGAGCTATCATCTGAAACAACTTCAAACATCCCTGAGCTTCAAACGACTGACATCAATGCAGCTGTGAGTGTTGTGTTTACTTTGATTTGTAACTTTTTATACAATTCTTTTTCGTCGTCATACAGTGGGTGAGAAAAGTACCCATATGTTTGCCAACATGCATATTTGATAAGTTATGTGACAAGTTACCGTTCACCTAGTTGCCTATACACCTGTGCAACATGAAAAGCGAAATACATTTAAATACTTTAGAGATTTCTTGAACACAATAAGTGGAAGCGCTTAAATGTGACATAATAAAAAGTTCAGACTACTTATTGGTAGAATTATGTTATTTATCATCTTTCTTTTAGTAATTTTTATTTTTCTCGTCACCGTTTAATTATTTTTCTTATTTATTAGTTAATTTTGTTTCTTTCTTCACCCACTGTACATTAGCTTAAAATTATTGTAAGTAAATACGATACATACCATGTCTCTCCATGCTTTATATGTTGGGTCACGCTTGACTGGAAATATGGGTGACATCCTGTAAAACCGATGTGCGTAGATAACTCGCACATATACATGTGATTTATGATCTAGGTGGAGGCTCTCGAATCTCAGATGAGAGAGATGTCGTCATTGATGTCCGACAACGAGGCGAAGATGTCGGAGAAGGACACCGAGTTGAAGGCTGCGGTGGACAAAATATGGTTCTTGCGCGAGATCATTACTGACTTGGAGCAGCAGCTGCAGGCCAAGAGTGAGAAGGAGGAGTCCTTGCAGATGCAAATCGATCAATTGGAAACCGTGATAACTGCGCAGACGAAAAATCAACAAGAATTGGTTCAGGAGCTGGATGCTATTAAATCTGGTAGCGAGAACAGACATCTGAACGAGCAAATTAATCATTTACAAGTGAGTAAAGCGAGCAAATGCGTAAACAATGTGTGAAAATGGTTACGGGACAGCCCTTTGTGTTTCAGGAGGAGTTGAGTAAACACAAATTGAGTTCGGAGCACTTCAACGTCAATTCGTCCGTCTTGAAGCAGATTAAGGTAGAACTGCACGAGATGCAAAATCAATTGGACAAGAGAATTCGAGAGATGGAATCTGCGCACATGTGCGGCTCCAATCTAAGCTTGAGTCAGCCGAGCGAGGACGTCTCGATCAGGGAGCAAATCGACGCGACGAGATGTTTGACCCCGGACGATCCGTCCTCGCCGCCGATGCTGCCGCTGGATCAAGTGCTCAAGCTGAAGGACAAAATGCTGAAACACGCACGTGCCGAAGAGGTGGCTTTCAAGCGGATCAAGGATCTGGAGATGCAGCTGACAACGATGAAAAATCAGAATGAGGAATTGTTAGCGGAACAGGAGATCCTGCACCAGACGGCGTCCGAGCAATTGTTCCAAATCGAGGCGATGCGCGGTCGCTTGGAGCAGCACAAACAGAGCGCGCCTTTCGCTCAGAAACAAGCGACGTCTCGTTTAGAATTGCAGCTACACGAAGCCACGATGAAATATCATTCCCTGGAACAGACCATTACCGACAAAGAGATGGAGTTGAGAGAACTGAGAGCCCAGCTTGAGAGGGTTAATCAGATGTTGGCGGAGAAAGAAGCGGAAATGGAAAATTTTGTGCAGTCGGAGAACGGCGCGCTGCAGAAGATCGAGCGACTGAAAGATCAATTGAAGCTCGTTCAAGAGGAGAAGAAAATGCTGCAGATCAAACTGGGGACGCAGGAGCATACTCAACTGGAATTGCCGCAATTGATCGACACCATACTGGCGGATAAAAACGAGGAGATTGATCACCTAAAGGAACAACTCTCGAAAAAGGAGAAACAATTGAATGCCTACTCATCGCTCGCTTTGGACGACGTGCAGCTGAGGGAGCTAACTAAGCAAGCGGAGGCCAAGAACAGCGCGCGAACGTTGAGCGACATCCTCTCCATTCACTCGGAATGCGAGGAATTCCCTGAAGCCATTCGAGCGCCTAACGCGACACACGCGACATTACACAATATCTCTAGCTTCAGAGTTTCTACGTCCGGCACGAAGAACATACTTCACACGAACAGTCTCAATACTTTGGAAACACCTCTATTGGATACGGATAAGATAGACACGCAAGTACCGCCGTTGGACTTGCATTCCCATACACACAGTTACAGCAACGGGAACGTCGGTCACTCGGAAATGGAGTTGCAGCGTTCCGGAGAGGAGTCAAAATCATCATCTCCGAAAAACAACGATGTTAGCGAGGATTCTCCACGAGTCGAGGAATTACTCAATGAAAAAGTGAAGGAGGTCGAAAACTTGTCGAATCAGCTGCAAGCTCTGCAACAGGAGCTAGATTCCAAGTCTGATCTGTTGAACAAATACGAGACGGAATTGATTACCTTGCAGAAACAGTATCAGGATTTGCAGGATGAGTTTAAAGAAACTGTCGAAAGCTTGGCGCGCGATAAAAATTTCTATAAAGGACAATACGAGTTAGCTCAAGCGTCGGAAAGTAAAATAAAGAAAGATCTGGAGGAAGTAGAGAACATCCTGAAATTGAAGACGGACGAACTCGAGGATCATAAAGATAGGATGCAGGTAAACGAAAGGATCATCACGGAATTGAATACGGCAAACACGAAGCTGAAGAGGGAGATCGAAGTTAAAGAGAAGGATCAGACGAAAAGGAGCAATTCCTTGCTGCAGAATGCGACGCAGGAACTGCAAAGATTCAAGGAACTCGTTATGGACAAAGATATCGCCTTGGAGACTTTTCAGACGCGCAACATCGAGATCGAGAACGAGAACAAGCAATTGTACGAATTTAAGACTAAGCACGAGCGAGAGATCGCCGAGTTGCAAAACGAGATCCTACGGCTGACAGATGGCTTGAATAATCGGGATCAGGTTATTCGTAAATTGGAGGAGATGGCGAGGCGAATGAGCGATGTTCAGTCGGGCACGTCCTCGCCGTCGTCCTCTAGCAACAAGGACTTGGAGATCCATCACCTGCAAGAGTTCCTGAAGGAGAAGGACAAGGTAATCAGGCAGATGAGCGATGACAGCAAGAGCCTGCATCGAGCATTGGAGACGATTCAAAACAAAATGAAGGAATCGGGTAATATTGTGGAGCTGAGAAGAAAATTGAAGGAAGAACGCAGGGTGAACGAGGAGATGAGAGATACAGTGCAGAGGTTGCAGAAAGAGTTGGAGGATGCGACGCTCCTGTGCGACGCTTCTAGGCGACGCTCACAGGACGATAGCGATATCGAGGATATGGTTCAGCGAGAACTAAATCTTTCCGCGCGGTTGGATAAGCAAATTATGCAGGTAATTAAGGATGATGAAGTCGTGGATGGAGCAGCGACCAACGAGAATCAAAAGACAAATAAAGTACACAAAGACAACGAATTATTGAGGAGATTGAAGGATGATTTAGAGGTCGAGCGAGATATAATGAGACATCAGATCGCCGAATACGAGGATCGTATCCTGCAATTGAAGGCGGATTTGACGGAGGAGACGAGGAAGGCAGCCAAGCTGGACAAGGAACTTGGGTCGGAGAAAAATGTGGTGCAGTTCCTGAGGGCGCAGATAGAAGAATATCGCCGGATGAAGGAAGTAGAGCGAATACAAGACTCTGAGTTAATCGAGTTCTTGCAGACAAAGTTGAAAGCCTCTCTGGAGAACGAGGAGAAACTCCGTAATGATCTAGCGTCGATGAGACAACAGCAGATTATTCTGGATTCGCAATTAACGTCCACGAGGAAATTGATAGAGAATGAGAACGCCAACAGAAACTTGCCGAATTTTGCTGCAACCGTGCACAATAACGATGAGAAGTATGCGTTAATTTTTAACTAATTTTTCCATTTTTTACTACTTTTATTAGTTGTAACAAATTATAATAGAAGTTTGGTGACGCCAGTCAAATCAAGAATTTTAATAAGTATTTAAACGACCTTACTGGCAATTCTTCTTTATTAAATAATAAACTCTTTATATTATATAAGAAATTTCGTAATTTATAAACCGCTACCCGTTCTCCAGACATTTGTAGGCACTCTTGTAAGTTTGTTCACCTGAAGAGGACCAGTATTACTGACCGAAACGTTGTTTTTTCTATTTAATAAAGAAGAATTGCCAGTAAGGTCGTTTAAATACTTATTAAAATTCTTTATTAGTTGTGTTTATCTTTTATAATCATTTTTGCTAAACTTTGACATCTATGTGTGTAACAAAAGAATTGAATTACATTTTAGCAAAACGAGATAACCTCGAGAAAGTCAAGTTGTTCCGTAAATAATATATATGTTTCCAAATCTTTCTTTTTATTTTCAAGAACGACGGTGAATTTGGAGAAAAGCTGCGAACACAATGCAGAACTACGGGAGAGTGTAAAGAGACTGGAGAACGAGATAAGTAAATACGAAAAGCAGTTAGAGATTGCGATAGAGGAACAAGAAAGACTAATCAGCAGCTTAGCGTTAACTAACGGATTGAAAGAAATCCTAGAGGCGGATCTGCGGAGAACCACGGAGGAGTTGAAGGCACGAGAAGGGGACTGTAATTATCTGCAGAAGCAGCTGAAGATATTGACGGAAAACAAGAAGCAAGTTCAAGACTGGCAAGCTGAGCTGGACGAGAACAAAGAATTGCGCAGGGAGGTCAACATCGCCCGGGAAGTTAGGATAGAGCTGGAGGCCGATATAAATCGTGCGAAGCAGGAACTGAAGGAGTTCTCAAATCGGGAGTTGAAACTTGTGCGCACAATAGAATCCATGAAAGAGCGAGAGACTGAGTTCAACAAAAGATTAGCAAGTTCAAAAGAGAAAGAGAGGAGAGTTAAGGATTTAATTGAGAATGTCGAGGACGTCCCTGCGAATTTCACGCAGAAGTTTAAGGAACTGAGCGAGACAGTCGAGAAATACGTTGTCGAGAAGAGTTATCTCGAGGACAAAATCGGTAAACTGAGAGTAGATAGGGAACTGTTGACACAACGCGTAAAGTTGCTCGAGGGGCAGCTGAAGAAACTGAAAACTACACAGGCCTCGAGCCAGGAGATGGTTCCTATAGAGAGGGTACAACATTTTCTTTCACTATTGCAATCTAATTATGTTTAAAATTGAAACAATTCAATTTTTATATCTTGAAACTGAAAAAAGTTGTTAGCAGTGACCATAGTTTTTTTTATTTTTCATCACAAATCTGTATATAAAGATTAATTAGCTATAAGTGCCCTGCAGAGTAGAAAGCAAACAATGTGTGAATTTTATATTTCAGTTACAACACTTCTATGGCAAATATCTACGGGTGAACAGCAGACGGAAAGCGTTGGCGTATCAGAAGAAATACCTGCTGTGCATCGTCGGCAGCTACCAATATTGCGAGGAGAACACGCTATGCGTGCTCGCGCAATTGACTCAAGACCAACGCTCTTACACGCGACTGCCTCACAACAGGAAGGTGCGTTTCAGGATCGCCGTGTACGCGATAGTCAGTATACACAGAATGAAATGGTTGTTCCAACGCTGGCGAACGGGGAAACGCGTGGGTGCTAACGCTATCATGGGTGGTACCGATCAATTGATTGATTTGCCGCCTCTCCGGAAAACGGTATCGAATCATTCTCCACCTGTGAGAGAAAGGACGACAAAGTGAGTAAAACTATAATCAAACATATTATTTTTATGAAACCCGCAAAAAGACGATTGCATCGGAAATCTTTAGTAAATATGTAAAAAGAGAATAAACATCAACGAGAAAGTATTCTAATTTAGAAATATTACATGCTACATTGTTCAGCTTTGTTGCGGAAAATATTATCTTGAAATCGTATATGATGAATTTCAATTGGTTGCTGATTTAGAATTTTTTATTCGTTAATACGATTCCGTTTGAATCATATCGATTGTTTGGTGAAATGTACTCGCGTTTTATTTTATTTCACAACATTATTATACATTATATGTTGTGTATTTCAGTGGAGGTAGCGGTTTTATGCTCGGGCAGTATTACCAAGAAGTAAAAAATTTCCAAGAGACACTTGGCTTAGGTAAGGCAGAGTCTGGTACTAGTCATATCATCTCAGAATAACATTATATGTATATTTTTAAAATATGTAGAGGTTTAGCTGTACAGTGTTGACATTACGAATATCCTGTTCAAGTAGTATACCATACAGTTCGCGTTTTTTAAAATGCTTCATTAACGACTTCGCGATTTTCGAATTTTTTTGTTTAGATTTTAGGACAAGTAAATGTTTTGAAACGTAATTAATTTTGCACCTTTGAATATGTAGATTTGGACATCTTAAAGTCTTTGTCGAATAATGAAATTTAATTACCGGTTTTTCGTTCTATTGAAAATCCTCGGAAATTTAAACCCGCTTATTCACACGTTGCACTTGATACGCTTGCGTTTTTCAAGTCGTTGGGTCCTCGCAATATGAGATTGTTCGATCCTACTTTACTGCATTTTTCATTTTTGATAAACGCGTTCTGTATTTTGCGACTAAATGGCAATCGTCGTCGATCGATCTGCATGGGATTTCTATTTCCGTTCGGCTGCACGATTTGCATCGCCCTAATTAATCATTAAGCAATTGGTTGGAAAAAAAATGTAAATTTCGTCAGCTCGACCGGAAATAATTGAAACTGGGCATTTATACGGACTCTGTAATAGACTGCCGGTTTTTTTTATATATATTTGTAACTCATTACCGTTTTCGTGCTAGACTTTGATTGATGTTGTCTTTCTCCTATTGATCTTGGTGATGCAATCTCGAAGTGTCACCTGTGTACTGCGAGAAACATGAATAATGAGACGTTATTAATAGCAAGAAGGATGTGTGCATGTAAAGTAGGTTTTAGCGTTGTAAGACACATGAGAGGCTTTTATCGAACGTTAAGCGAAGTAAAAGCAATTTCTGCGGTAATAATGCTCGGCTTGGAGCCGGCCAGACGTTGCTTTTATTTGCGACATATTGTTATTGTGTAAGTTATATAGATATATTGTAGGTATATAAATATGTAAACCTGCGTGCCTTGTACGCCGTAAAACGCGTTCATTATTTATTTACCAATGGATTATAATAAGCTTTTTATATATCGCAAGTTGCATGTCGTTTTCCCGATGCTCCTGTAATAAAGAATCAATTTTTTTAATATATCTAACTTTCGTTAAATATACGAAAACCACTCGAGACAGAGACACTCCGTCAAATACTCCGAGTTTTTAAAGCTCGATCAATCTCGTTTCACTTTCGTTTTATCAATCAATTCTACTGTGTGTATTAATTAGTCGAGGAAGGAATATGACTACGCGTTTCTTAGTATTATATATATTTTTCTAAAGCACTATATATACATATATATTTACATATATACAGTAGAGTGTATGATAAAATATATAATAATCGACTAATCGGTTCTCATTAGCGCTATCGTTTCTCTAAATTTATCTAAAGATACATTAAAGTTTTAGGTATATATCTATGACGATAAGGCTTGTTCCTTGCTAAGATGGCAACTTACGTACTCTTTTTTTTTTCCTCGTTTGTCATCGAGTTCGGACAATCTTAAATTTCGTTAAACTGTGCGTCGATACGGCGAGATGTAAAAAACAATTTAAAACTGAGCTTGTCTCGGATGTCAAAGGAGAACAATCTTACATGTATAATCTGATTATTCGCGGCAGAATCGAAATACTTTCTTGTTAGTTGTAGGAAAGTTGCGTTTTAAGTGGCTTACGCCGCGTAAGAGGAATTCGTTAAGAAAATTGGAGGATCAGCTCCTCTCAGACGTACTTCGAACGTTAATGTTATTAATTACTTTCACATCGGCTTATTTATCTATAATGCATAGTGCTAGGTGGAAACTCGTTCGAGATCCACTCGATATATCTACCTGTCATTCGAGAAAATAGGTGAATTAAAAAGAATTGGTAAGAATACTTGGCGTCCCTGTGAAGCCATAAACTTGTGATCTCTATGGCGAGAGACTGGCTTTACGTGTCCTGTACAAGTGCTTCTCCACTCTTCTTCGTTTTTTATCTATTTTTTGTTCTAGAGGACGAAGCCGTTTGCCACACTTTTAAAGAGAATGTTATAGCACCTCGCCTAAAATTAGTGTTAAAGCGACTTTTCCCTTACTTTGTATTTAATATCTACGAATAGAGAGAGTGGTTAAACGGCTATTATATTCCGGATAAAAAGAGATAGAAGAGGATCTCTAAAAAAGTGCTAAAGTCTTGAAGTTTCTAATTTCGAGAATAAGGTATTCACTATTACCGAAGACGAGTCTCGCGCTCTCTCTCTTTTTTCCTCGGTCTCTCATTCCTTTTAACTCGCCTATTTTACTACGGGGTCGATCATGTTTCGCGAGCTGGGGAACGCCCGTTAATTTTAGCGAATCTTGTGACTCGAGCATGCGTCCTTAAAGTTCGTCGCGTTGAACGGCACGAAATAGTCGTCGTGCAGCTGCCTGACGATGTTCTCGATCGGGCAGAGCTTGACGCCCCTCTTGCCCATCGTCGGCTCCCCGTCGTCGCTGACGTAGGTGTTGGCGTTCTTGCAGAACGGGACCCTCGGCGTGAGGTCCCGGCCGTTGGCGACGACGCGGAAGTAGAAGTCGCTGGCGAGGCGGTTGTCGTTCCGCGAATTGATCTTGTAGACCTCGATGACGAGCCGCGAGGCGTAGTGGGTCGCGACGTCCGAGACTATGCCGAGGGCGGTAGCGAGGTACTCCAGGGTCTTGTCGTGGCCGGAATAGAGGACGATCTTGGGCCTGGCCTCGGAGATGATGCGCAGCATGAAGGTGACGATGCCGCGCAGCATCCCGTACGCCTTCAGCAGCCCGTACTTGTTGCGGCTGCTGCTCTTGGCCACCTGCTTCGACTCCCAGTCCGTGTAGGCGAATAGCCCGGTAACGTGGTCGCTCTTGACGCACGTGCGCTGCGTGTCGAGGTCGGCGCAGGGCAGCGAGGCGCCGTGGCACACGTACGTCAGCAGCGCGTCCCTCAGCGTGTTCGGGTCGCACGTCTGCGCCTGGTCCGGCAGCTGGAACACCGCGCTCGCCGCCTGCTTGATCAGCTCCCCGACGGCCGGGTGGGATTTCAGGTGATTCGAGGTCTCCTGGGGGAAGTGCAAGTAAACGCGCCTGCTTAGAGGCCAGGCACGATCCTCAACGCTCCCTCTGGGGCGCTCCACGAATATTTTATTAACAACTGAATTATTCTTTAGATATACCAATAATCTGGGAGAAGTGCGGGCTGACACCTCGATGGAAAGTTCGCCAATAGAATTAAATGAGCCTTGGAGATTTGTAAAAGGCTCTCGCCGATTTTGATTGTACTCGTTAACGTTACGGCCAAGCCGGCTCTCGAATGTAACTTTGAACGACCTTTTTTTTTTTTAATAATTGAACGCAGTTATCCAACAAGGAACCAAGTACCATTTTCGTGATTTTTAGTTACTGCGAAGCGATCACGAGGGTCTACAGTCCATTTTACAAAAGTGACCCAATTTTTCGTCTTTAATGGAATCGCATAAAATAACATTTGAGATTATAGTTGGGTCATTATATCTGAGATCAGCGCAGAATTTCATTTCTAACGTTTCGCGAAAATCGCTCTAGCGGAGAAGTGAAATTTCCAAGTTGATTCCGCATTGCAGAACTGCGTCCGCGTTAATTTTCCACAGTAATTCTCTAATTGAAGATCTCGAGCTTTTCCACGGGACCTCAATGGGAAAATTAATTATCGAAACGAGCCCCCGTGAAATTTTCGAAAAGACCCGCACTCTCGTGTGCACTAAACATGCGGTGCGCCTCCGCGTGTCACGTGCGATGCGCAGCGAGCGGCGATTATTTTCGTGGAAAAAAATTATTATATCGCGTGCGAGTGTTTTATTCGGATGACGCGCTGAGAAATCGGCGTTTGTCGGCCTAGAATGACCCAGATAATTTTATTGAATTTCCTGGGAAAGCGGGGAGAAGAGCGATGTTGATGCAGATTATTTAACATGTTTCTGAGAAAACTGGAATGAGATCTCAGGTCATTAAAACTTCCTCGGGAAGACGGGAATAGCGCAAATGTAAATTTATCGGGTCTCTCCCTCAAAAAGGGTGGAAATACGACGACAAGTCCGTTTTACATACATCTTCGCGAAGAAAAATGAAGCGAGACTCTCTGCGCGAGGGAGATCCGTCGGATTTAAATTACTTGGCGCAAAAATTGCACGAGTCTAAAGGACGATTGTATTCCTTAAACGTATCGCATAGATTAGCGAACGATCGCGAGGATTGTCACGCTCAAATTTCACGGAAAGGACATGATCGTCAACGTGGTCCTGGTGGGAATATTTTGCTGAAAATGCTACGCGAAATTCATGAAAAGTGAAACGAAAATTATTGAAAAATTATCGAGTATGTAAATCTTGAAATGAATTAATTTTAATTTTATGAAAATCAATGCAATAGCGCGAAATACAAGAAAAGTCCAAGTATACAGTCGAAATTTACTGAGATTTACGAAATGCTTGAGATATAAAATTTAATTAAAGACTGCGTTACTTATTGATGAAAAATTGCTGAAATATCGAAATGATAATGAAAGAGGACCAATCGAGAGAGACTGTCAAATGCGTCTCAGTAAATTTAATTATATTTTCAGTAAAATATTTCCACCGCAGGAACGTTCGTCTGCAAATCGAATATGCGGGAAACCGACGAGGCGTACATATTTACCTTCAAGTGCTGCTTGAGGAACTTCTCGGCGGCGGGACAGGCGCACTCGTTACCGCAGAACGCGTAGCTCTGGCTCTCCTGCAGGCTGATCCTCGCCAGAGCCTGGAGGCCGTCGTTCTCGAAGAGCAGCGCGTAGAGGAGCGCGACCGCGCTCTGCACGGTCCTGCGGTAGGAGGTGCTGTACACGATCACGTCCTTGCCGTAGGACGTGCCGTTGCCGAGGTTGAGCCGGTGATAGTACGCGTTCCTCAGCGCGACCCCGGTCTTGAGCAGCTGCAGGACGCCGAGGGTGGTGAGCTGGCCGATCCTGCAGTCGCGCGCGTTTGCCGGCAGCACGGGGAGGCCGTGGAACGGGCCCAGGAACTGGGCCCAGGCCGCCCGCGAGTAGCTCGACGCGTTCTGCACGAAGCTCACGTAGTTCTCGTAGACGGTCTCGAGGTCGGTCCCGGCGGCGAGCTCGCTGGCGCCGCAATTGATGCTGCTGATGTTACGTATGTGCGTGAGCGGACCCCGGTCGCCGTGGCGGATGAAGATCAGGATGCCGCTCAGCGTCAAGTTGCCGTCGAGCTTTCCTGTCGGAAGGCGAGGAAGCGCGATATTTTCGCGATTAATCGCAATCCACGTGTAATGATATGATTTTGAAACTCGTGCCCGCTCCGGGCCCGCACGCTTGCGCAAGAAGAAAGTGAGTTTGCACTCATTTCCAGCTCGAGTGAGATCAACTGGGATTATTGACTCTGCCGGCCCATTTACCATTCGTCGCGATTATGCGCGAGGAGCTTTGAGCGAACGACTTCTTTTATACTCTGGATAGCGTTTAATATGATTGATGAGAACTATTGATTGATGATGCGAAATGTGTCCGGTCATCGTGACCGGAGTATTATATTTTCGGCCGCGCTCGATGAAAAAGTAGGATACTCGCGTGTGGGGGTACCTTCGGTGTCCGCGGCGATCTCGTGCGGCAAGTTGCAGAAACGAAAGATCTTCTTCGTCTTCGCGTCCGATTTCAAGTTCCTCGGGAACTCCCGTAGCGACAAGTCATTGCTCGGGACTCTCGTCTGCACCGAGGTTTTCTCATCTACGCCGATATACTTGTACATACCTGCGCGACGAAAGAGAAATATCGTCTGTAATCGACAGCTTTTACATTCCATTTTACGTCTTCAACTATTGTTTCGTTTATATTACGCTTTGTACCATCAACCCGGTGAGAACGCTAAGGTCGAATCAACGTCGGATTGATGTTAATGAGGTCGAGACCACTTTTCCAAACGTCAGTTTTTAGAAAATAATTAACCGTTACAGAGCTTTATTTTTGTATTAAATCACTGCGTTCTGAATACAATTAGCATCTTATTGGAGAGAACTGTCGAGTTAACTTATTTGATACAAAAAATTAAGTTCCAAAACTGTTAATTATTTTCAAAAACTGATGGTTGGGACGCGGTTTCGACCCCATTGAACGTTGTCCTAACGTTCTCCATTACAAACAACGAAATGACGTTATAAGCAATGGGAGCGAAAAGCGTATTTATTGTCGAGTTTCATTGTCAATCATCCCAGATAGCCAAATCTGTTGTAGCAGATTTCGTCGAGTGCCCACTACAAATTTTGTAGGCAGAAAGACTGCAGATTGCATACAGAAACGGATATATTCGATAATGTTGCAGCAAAAGTACAACGAAATCTGCTCACATAACTGGACCTGCTTGGTTTCTGCCGACAATCTGTTCACAGCGTATGTTCTACAGACTCTGCTGCCAATATAAAAGCCAAATGCACAGATGGCTATGGTTTTAGTGTGAGTTTCTGACAAATCTGCTGCCAATCTGATGTTAATCTGCTAACATTTTGCTGACTGGGATACACTCAATAATTCACTTGTACAGTTTGGATCATTAAGTATACGACGGATGATGAAACTCACGGAACAGTAGCTGTATTTTTTATTCTCATTGCTCGTACGTCATTTTAATGTTTATAAAAAAAATTCTGAGAATCTAATTTATTCGTTTGCATTTATACACTATAATTCCTTCTTCTCCCATATATTTCGGATTTAATCTGACAGTAGGTAATCTATGGCAAAGTCTTATTTCACGTAATTCAACTCGTATCATTGCGAGTTATACTGTCAGGCGCCGGTTTTAAAGAGAACAACGTCCTTCGTTTTCATTTATGTGATATAACTTCTTCCCGTCTAATGCATTTTGACTTAATCTGACGGTGTCTGTTACATTAAAATATTAAAATGATTAAATTTGCATCTATAATCTTCGACAGAATCTTATTTCGCGCTATTTTATTCATGTTATCATTACGATATCATCAGGTGCCGGCTTCAGAAAGGATAACGTTTTCATTTATTTACTTTAATTTCTTCCTCTCTAATGCATTGTGATTTAATCTGGCGGTACCTGTTAATATTAAAATAATAAAATTTTCAACGAATCTGTATCAGGGAAAAACGTTATCTCTCCGCTTTCGGTTCATATTTCGGTAAAGCCCAGTGTCAACGGAAAAGTTCTTTCACCGAAAAAAAAAGTTCGCTAGCATAGCTAATCATGGCTTGCTAAAAATATTTTGCTGCCATAACTACCCGCACAGAACAGAAACCTCCAATGGATGTTCAATAGACATCCACCATGGAGATGCAAAACCTCCATTAGACGTCCACGTAAAATCTTATGGATCTTCAATAGACATCCACAGTTCCGCATTTGCTACTTCCATTGGACATCCATTAGCATACTCATAAATGTCATATGGATGTAATAAAGAGTAATTATAGATATTTAAGAAAACTGATGGAATATATAATATTACATATTTTTAAATATACTTTTAATACATTTGAAAATTATAATTAACATTTATATTAAAATTAAATATTGTTTTGGTAAAAACGTGAAAAGATAATATAAAAGAAAGAAATATAATAAAAAGATAATAATACGTGTACAAATATATCTATCCATGTATCTTCTGTCATAGATATCCCCTATACCCCATACAGCACAGATGGTTGCAGTTACATTGCAGAAACGTTGCAATCTTGCAGAGACATTGCAGGGATATAAAATTGCAAATTTTCGATAGCAATATTGCAGCAATGTTTCAAAAATAATGAAAATAATACATTTTCTATTTAAAAAATTTTTCTAATTACGAGAATTTTATAATGTTATTTTCGTTGATACCAATAATACGCGAATTATTAAGTACTTGATCAGTGCGGTGTTGCTCGCAATCTCCATCTATTGCGAAGCGACATAATCTCCTTAGGTTGCTTCGCAATAGCTTGCTGTGTATTGAAAAAGGCCTGGATGCATATGTAATTAGTAAATTCTCTGCTTATGTACAACAACAAATTATTCCAAAAATATTGCACTGCAACATTGCTATAATGTTGCACTGCAATCTCTCTGAGGGCGGACATTTCAACGCTGCAATCCTCCAGAAACGTTGCTGCAATATTGCAATCTTGCAATGTAACATTTCTGCAATCTTCCTGCAATCTTTCTGTGCTGTGTGGGACAGCACCAAAGCTTTCAGAAACATTTCAGAAAACATTGTTGCAATGTTGCAATATTTCTGAAAGCTTTGATGCTGTATGGGCCATTAGACATCTGTGATAGATTTACAGACAATATATTTATCGCGGAGGTAATATGGAGTTCTATTAGATAGATCCATGGAACTATGGAGGTTAAATATGGACGTCCAATGAACGTCATGTTCTGTGCGGGTAGTAACCCTATACAACATATCGGCGCAATATTGGGAAATATGTAAATCTAATATTCTCAATATTGGTCCAATATTGTAAGATGGACGTCTTCTTTTATTTAGCCAATATGTCTATTTAGCAATATTGGTCTAATATTGCATCAATATTCTTATTGCATTGTTAAATAATTGGTCACTGCACTTGCAATATAAATCTATTATATAATTATTATCGTGCAATATTTATTCCGTGGCCAATATTGGCTTTACGTTGGACAATATCAGCCAATGCATTTCTAATACAACCGACATTGGACCAATGCACTGTGCTACTAGGGTAAATTTCTAAACCACAGCAAGTGGTTTGTTGTAGCACCCAATACAATGGGCACAGTAGCCAAATATTTAGCTATCACACCTAAATATTAGCTGTCCATATTTTACAAATGGAATTTAGTTGCCACATGCAATCTTCAGTCTACGGCAGTTACATTTTTCCCGTATTGTCGAGGAGATTATGTCGAGTTTGTTTTTTTCCTGGCGGTCGATTTAGCATACGTGTCAACGACTATGATTGGACACTTGCCTCACTCTCGCAACAAAAAGAAAGTGCAATATTCGCCGCTTCGATGGCACCTGATAACGTCCAGCTGTATAGCGCGCTATTGAAAAACTAAAGCGTTCTATTATTACGGTTCTATTATTAAAGCCGAAGTGATAACGCGAGCGTAGAAGCGCTCAAGTAGCTGCGCGACAGCACACGTCACATATGTGCATTCTGTCTCGCGTTTAAAAATAAAAACTCGTACCTGGGATTGAAAGATTTAAGCGTCCCGAAAGAAAATCGGATAACGGTGTAAAAGAGAGACGATTGTATTATACAAGAGCGGCGCCAAGATAACTTCCTCTCCTACCGTGTACGAAACCCGATCGATCTCGACGCGAGTTCGATGTATATTTTTTTTTTGCGCCGCGACGAAATCTCGTTTGTGTCGTCGTAGGTACACTAGGAATCACCAGTGCCTTTCCATATAAATTTAGGCACATGTAGAACACATTTTCCATGTACCTATGTGTATGCAAAATGTATAAATGTATCGATATGTTCACAAATTCATGTGGAAAGACATCGCGACTGTCCCTAGTAGCACAATATAAGGTAAAAGTACCAATGCCCGGACATTCACCTGTACCTGGACATTCGTATTTGTTTCTTTAAATACGAATATCTAAAATTGTAATTTGGAATGTGTACGTATATTAAATGTATAATATGTACATGTGTGTTCATGGCTGAAAGTTTAAATATCCGCATTTAAAGACCAAACAAAATACGAATGTTGAGATATAGGTGCATATCCGGGCATTGGTACTTTTATCTTATGGCGCAATATTGGGAAATGTAAATCTAGTATTTCTAATATTGGTCCATTATTTTAAGACGGACGCCTTCTCTTATTCAGTCAATATTCTTATTACATTGTTAAATATTGACCGGCGCACTTCGAATATAAATCTAATATTATATAATTATTATAGTGCAATATTTATTCCATGGCCAATACCGGCTTTACGTTGGACAATATCGGCCAATGCATTTCTAATGTAACTAACATTTGGCCCAATGTTTAGCCAATGCACTGTGCTACTAAGGATCTCTTTCGCAAGGTCGTATCCTCGGTTTTACTCAATTTTTCTGCTTAAACGCTCATTTAGGACCAGTAGGAGATGCGACCTTGCGAAAGAGATGAGTCGATTGGTGATTCCCAGTGTACATAGATGCGCGCGAATCACGTTCGCGCGCGTGTCTCGCCGCGGCTTCTCGAGATCGACAGGCCGCGATGTCGCACCGATTTCTACGCTCGCAGGGTCGATCTCTAATAGCGGGACGGCACGTTGGTTGCGTTTACCAGCGACCAGCAGGAAGATCCACACGCTCAGAATCACGTAGCAGTAGAACGCCCTGTGCTGGTAGGAGAGCCGGATCATTTCCGCGAGCATCCCGCGGCGGCGGCCGGTCCCGGGGGACCGATTTGCAGGCCAGCGAGCGGTAGCGGCGTCCCGACGACGTCAGGGCGACGACGGTGACGGCGGCAGCGTGGAGCGGCGCGTGGAGGACGAGGACGCGACTCGATTTCCGTCCCGCACGAAGGGGCCGCGCGAGGCTGCATCTTCAGACACCCTTCGGCCACACTTTCCGCATATTTGTCGACGACAGTCCTGCGACGAGGGACTGCGCCCGAGCGGAGAATCGACGCCTACGACGACGACGACGACGAGGACGGGGACAACGGGAGAAATCGCCGAGCTCCCTGCGGTGCGTACGCCCGAGATGGAACTGCCGGTCCTGACATGGCGATAACAGGGGTAGATTTGCGGGGGTCGTCCCAGGCGCAGGCGCCACCCCGCCGATTACCCTCCGCCCTGAGGAGCCGAGCGGAGTTCTCCACGACGCACGGGCTGGTCGGTCTCTACAGGGTGGCTCTCGCCCGTACGACGTTTATCGACCTTCCCTTATCCGGCGCGGTTATCGAATGCGGCGCTGGTCCCTCCCGGTCGAAGCCGGCGTCGGTTATGCACTCTCCGTCGGAGAAGACGGGAGAGTTCTCCGTCCCACGTCGCGGAATATCGCGAAATAGGCCCCCTCGGACGTAATAATGAGCTTTCTCTGACAATTACCGTCCGACCTGAGAGACGCGAGCAGAGGACGAGAGCGACTGACGGATTTGTTCCTCCACCATGACCGACTTTTACGGCTCAACACAATTCAAGCGTCTCCCACGTCTGTTTTAATAAACGCGTAAGAAACGCGTTTACTTATTCCCCAGCGTCGAAATTGCCGCGTGATCACTTTTGAGCAGTTGCGCTCCAACAGTTTCATCTCGTCTCTTCAATGGTCTTACCGGGGGGGAGGGGGGGGGGGGGGCAAGCGTTTTCAGGACACCGATTGGTTGGGACAGACAAATACCTTTAATTATTTTGTCAACACTTTTAGGTGGTCTCTTTGCTGATCTTAACAGGGTATAAATGTTTTCAGGGCACCCCGAATGGTTAACACCGAGGATTAAAGTGTCATCAGCGCGCGGGAACGAAACAGCGAATCGAGGAAATAAAATAGCTTCGACAATAACAGTTTCTACAAAATTGCGGACTGCTCGACGAAGTTGCTCTGTTATTTCGTTGAAAGGATTACCTCGCATTAGTTTCAACGACGTATAATCCCGCCTGGTTTTCCTTTGCGCGCGCAACAGCGAGGTGAAATTATCACGAATCCATCTTCGCGTATCAATCGGATTAAATTCCGGTTTTGCTTCGGTTTTTTAAATTAACCGGTTTAAGGATATCCGGTTTATCGCGATCGTCCTTTCCCAGTTAGCACAGTAAAATCGCTAAGTGTTCGCCAAGTTTTCTGCCTTTATGAATTCTTCGGGAATTCATACAAGAATACAATAAGAATGATTGGGGAAGTTACATGCACCATGAACTTCTGACGCATACTTCAAGTCGAACTAGCAGCACAGTGCATTGCCCGGCGAGAAATGACTCGTCGATGTCGAAACAATGTCGAATCGTCAAATTGATGTTGAATCGACGTCAATTTGACAGTGTCGATGTCAATTCGACATCGTTTCGACGAATCATTTCTCACTGGGTGGCTAAACATTGGCCCAATATTGCCCTAATAGCACAATGCATGGACCAAACATTGGTTAAACATTGGCCCAACATTTGGTTGTATTGGGCGAATTGACTCACTGTGCTACTAGGGTGGCCAGTATTTCCCAAGGTAAAGCCAATACTGGCCACGAAATGCATTGGCCAATATTTAGCAATCTCCTTCTTCTTCTTCTTCTCTTCTTCTTCTTCTTCTTCTTCTTCTTCTTCTTCTACTACTACGGCTCTACAGTCCTGAGAGGACCTTGGGACCTCAGAATATTTAGCAATATAATATAAATACTGATCTACTATTGATACAATTAGATATCACTAAGTAGACATATTGACTAAATAAGCAAAGGCATCCATCTTAGAATATGGACCAATTTTGGGAATATTAGATTTTTACATATTTGCCAACATTGCGCCGATACTTTGTGCTACCAGGGATCGATTATAGCTGATCCTTCAAGAATTCGTCAGATATTCCGTTTTCTAGCTTTGCAGGTACTCTCTTCAACATGAATTCTCTATGAACATACGTTCATCTTTGTGCCATCTGGATTGCTACGATCGAACGTAGAATTCCCGTCGAATTCGACCTCACATCGCGACCACGTTTCCGCAAATTCGCCGCGAACAAGGTGAACGCGTGCATGAAAAGCAAGGCCTGGCCGACGCGACGGGTCTGCGGACCTACGGGGTCGAGCCGAGGAAAGCGGATGCCCGTGATGTCATCCAGCGTGTACGGCTTCGCCGCGCTCTCTCGGCCCGGCCTCGTAAATATATTCCGTTTAAGACTGATGGCTAGATTGTCCCGCAGTTGACGGGTTAGTCTCGGGGTTCTCATCTCGGGGCAGTTACGGGGCGCGCGGGTTACACACACGCGGGTAATCGCGCCCGTCTACCAGCGTCTCGCCGCGACGCACCGCGCCGGGCACGCAACCGTCATTGGTGATTGAACGCCCTCGCGGCATTGCGGACTTAAACGGTCCCCAGACGAGCGAGATATTCTTTGTTAATAAGAAATCTCCCTTCCTCGCCATCTCCCTCCCTCCGTCCGAAAGCGATGCCTGGAGCTGGAGCGAATAAGCGATACCGGCGCGGCGGGGCGAGTGTGCGATCGGTGAACCGATTAGAGAGCATCGATTTAGTTCTCTTTCTCGAATGGGAGAACGGCCTTTTTATTTCGACTCTTATTTTTCGCGTATATATTTAGTTTGATTTCAAACACACGGAGAGAGTTTTCTCTTAAAGTTGATCCCGATAATCGTGTAATCGCGGGACAACGCGGCATTTCCAAGAATATGAAAGTTTTTGGAAATTTTATCAATTACATTCTACCAGTAATGATACTTGGCGCACGTTTTACTAGTAAAATGTATGGTAAAATTTTCAAAAACTTTCATTAAGTTCATCAAAATGCCACGCTGTCCCACGATTACATGGTTTTCAGGGTAAATTTTGAGAGAAAATTCTCTCCGTGCGGGAAAAGAACGTCTCGGTGAGAGCAAGGCACTCTCAGTTTCACAAATCAGGACAGCGTTATTTCAGACTAATGATGCGAAAAGCGTAATGGAAGTGACGACATTTCTCGCTGTCTCATTTTAATTTACAATTATGTAATAGTAATTCGGAACGCTGTTAATATAATCGGTTTTTAAACGATAAAAAATTAATGTTTCGCGCGATTTTGAAAATTGTTATATTCAGAAGTTGGTATAAATTTATGCACAAGGCAGTGTAGTGGATTGTCTCGTTAGGAATGTGAGTTTTTAAAGATATCTGTTAAATGAAACAAAAATTTAATACTTAATTCACTTTGATTCAAAATATATTTTCTATTATAAGTTACGACCTCTTTCCACCTTAATCTCGAATTTTCAATTCCCGAGTAAAGTTTTTCGGTTTTCGCGCTGAAAAATAAATCAAGCTCTCTTTCACATCCCCGCGTTATTTCTGGGATGATTCAATACTAACACCAAGAAACGATGTTGCAAGATTAAACAGATGAAGCGCTTGGAGACTTACCAGCTCGACGGAACTGCAGTCGCACCGCAATTAAAATTAATTCAGCTCGTGCATGATAATAAATTAACGCATCAGAACATAGCTCGTGAAAATTGCTCGAACGAAAGTACGCGTCCCGCAAGCATGTATTTATAAGTTCAAGAAATTCGATCTCTCGCGGTCTGCAATATTAATTAACGGATGAATCTTCAACGAGATAAAGTATGCAATTCGCGAGGATCGGAGACACGGTTCCAAATATTACCTGCGGGTTCAACACGTAAAAATCCCTTAAGGCTGGATCTACAATTAACGCAGCAAGCCGCAAGCCGCAAGAAATCGGCCAATAAAGGCCCGAACACACGAAAAAACTTAAGCAGTAATACTTAAGACTTTCGAGAACGTAAGCAGCCATTTTGAAACTCTTGCTGAAAATTCCGATTGGTTGAAACTTTTTAATTTTAAGTCTTACTGCTTAAGTCTCTTCGTGTATTTCCAGCTTTACGACTTGCTGCGTCTATTATAGATCCAGCTTAAGCCTGATCTACAATGTGTTCTTCGCGTCTAGAAACATTCTATTTTGTAGCCGATAAATACCCGGGAAAAAAATTGAAAAATCTCATTATATATATGTCGCAGTGATGTAATATCTCATTACATCTCATGAGATCAAATCCTTAGAGATTTGACACTGTCCTGGAATGTTCAAAGTTATTGAGATATAAGTAAATCTATAATTAAATAAGTCCTAAGAGAACATAATTAGATCTCAAGAGATAATAACATTGAATGTTCAATGAAAGTGTGAGATCTCTGAAGATCTGATGATTTTAGAATCGGATATAATTAGATCCTACATGATTGAGACATATACTAAATGAAACATTTCCATCTTTTCCCGGGTACATTTGAAGAATTTGTGCAAGTTGATAAATCGTACGTTATACATCGTACAATCGTATGCTGTCGACAAACCTTTTACGCGTTTTGATTTGCTTATATAAAGCAGATTGTTTGTAGACGCAAAGGGCAAATTGTAGAGCAGGCTTTAATCGTCCGAATCCTTAAATCGCCCTGCGACCCTCGTCGCTTCGGCATTGGGCAATGACCATTTCTCTCGGTTCAAGTCTTTTGGCGTCTATCAGCGAGCGAGAGAGAGCATCCGGTAGTGATGCAACGCGTATCGTCGCGAGGAATACATTTCTAGCGGGCTGCGCATGCCGGGGCATTGTGCGACATATTTGCAGACGCGCGCGGCCGCCGCCGCGGCGTCGCGTCGCATCGTCTCTAGATTCGTGAGCAGACTCGAGAATCACCCTGCGATCTCGTTGCGCAAGTGTTCCGCATCGACGGCCGCGGGATTCTCTCCGCGACCTACGGTCTAGAATGCCACTCTCAAGGAGAATCGCCGATCCCCGGCGTTTCAACGGCGAGATCCCACTCCGGCACGTTATCGTTATCATCGTCGTCGCCTGCCCGCGTGCCCAATCCCGCAGCCTCGGCAAGATCATTACTGCGGAATGTCATTGCGGTAATGATAACGAGTACCCTAGTAACGAGATACGCAGCAGGCCAGATCTCCCTGTGAATTCGCGATGTATCGACGGATCGCCGGTCTTTTCAGCGAGTTGACATATTTTTTTTTTTCAGCGCGTTTTCTCAATAACACA